TGATGCTAGCAATTCATCCAACCGTGCTACTAGAATTTCTCTCCAAGGCAAAAAGGCCCTGTTCCATCTGTTCCACTAAGAGTATCAGTGAAGAGCATTCCAAGCTCTAAGAGTATCAGTGAAGAGCATTCTCAGCTCTTACACAACCCTCTTGACTTGAATCAAGATTCTATTTCTTTTGGTTTCATTGATGATGTTACACATCTAGTAGCAAAAAAAGACATTGGAATAGTGGCACAAAGGTTAGAAATCAAAGGAGAAAGATTGTTATAATGGGGCTCTGCCCATAACACTATCTTTCATAAGAAGAAAGCTCAATATATGGGCTTCACTCATCAACATATCTGTTGATGAACAAACTAAAGGATGTATTTCTTCTATAAGTAAAATACATGAAAAAGAAATACATGAAATGAAAAAGAGAATAATGAATTCATAACCAACCTAAAGGCAAATAATGAATAGTGTAGAAGAGACAACGACACACATAGGCAAAAAATGAGAAATAAGAGAAGACTGAAAGAAATAAGAGAAGTCAATGTCTTGGTCAATGAGTGCATTGAGAGAAGGACAATCAATCAATTCTGATAACCTACAACTGTGGAAGAGACCAAACGAGATGATAATAATCAACAAAGAATTGGATGGAAGGGAAGCACGTAGGTCAAGTTGACAAGTTGTTGGAGGAAGGGAAGCGCTGGAGGAATGATGGAGGAGAAGATAGTTTTGATTGAGATGTAACAGTTTCAAAAGAGAAGAGATGTCAATAATGAGTTTTGTTGAGTGGAGGAAGTGTAAATATAAGAATAGTATTCACAGTACACGTGAGAGTAGTCGTGTATGGTTATAAGTTATGAACCTGTATTTTCCTGCCTGGGAGTTTCAATCTTGTGTCAGCAATGAAGAATTTATAAGGACAATGATTAAGGCAGATGTTTGAATTTCTAAAATATTGTAAGTGAGAGAAGTGAGTGGAGCAAATGATGATGAAATAGAAGGACAAAGGGCAAGCATGAATGATTTCATAGGGATTTCTTAGCGGTGTCAAGCTCAAAAGTATTCTTGAGAACCTTTTGCTGAGTGCGGAAAGGGATGTATGAGGTTGCCTCTGCCTTTCCTGGTTCACTAGACACTAAAACAAGCCCACCAATCTCAGATTGGCAGGTTTATATAGTGATAGTGGAGTGTTATCAAAAGATAACTGACGTATGAGCCATGGATGGTATGTCAAGTAGGGTATCTATATGTAATTAATATGTACTGAAAGGGCCAAGGCTTCAACCAGGTGCAAGTTGGATGAAGGGGCTCCAAAATAAGGGGTTGGTATTTATTTAAGGGTTGTTGAGAGTGTGTAATAATTGTTATTTCAGAGGGTTGGTATGTATATAAGTAAATTGTAAGAGGGTATAGTAATGTTGAGAAGGTTGGTAATGCTATAAGGGAAACACTGGTGCAGTACTCTGCTGTGGAAAAAAAAAAAAGATACAACTGGGGGGAGGAGAGCCTCCTTATATAGACAAGAGTGAGGTATTTTGGCCCCAAGGGGGGAACTACATGAGGCAGTGTGACTAGGTACATGAGGAATACATATGTTGAATGGTTGAATGTGATTGGTTGGAATTGTACAGCCCTGTGTGAGGTTTGCTGCAGGCTGAATGAGGTCTTGTGATTGGTCAGGACTTGATGGGTATCCTGCAGGGTAGTGTAATGTTTGTTGATGATGTAATATGCAGTTGCTATGCAGCAATGAGCCACTCATGCAAGCGGCTGTGCCTGCTGTATGCTTTTGTACTGGTCATGCAGGACTTATGCGCCTTGCTGAAACCTACTGCTCCTGCTGCACCTGCATGTATACTTTTGTATTGGTCATGTAGGCCAGTCATTCCTTGCCTGTGTACATGTCTGTGTATGTGATGTCCTGTCTGTATCCTTGAGGGTTGTAAATGATGGGTGTCAGTGCTAGTAATGATGTAGAGTGTGAGAGAGTAGAGCTATGAATAAACTGCAAGTGGTTAGTAAGAGCATTCACCCTTGTCTCTGTAAACCCGCTCGGTAAGCGGGATTTACTCAACTTGAATCAATATTTTCACCCTTGCGCACTCTTTACACTACAAACAATACCAGTTTCGCCCCAGGAAAAAATGGCAATTTGAGTGGTGGAAAATTGTTCAATTTCCTGAGGCTTTTTTTACAAAATGCCTCAGGAGTAAAAATCAGGCTAAAATGAGCTATTTTAGCCCAAAAACAAAATGCCTCAAACTTTCCAAAATTAATTTTTAGCTCATTTGAGGCATTTTTATTTTTTGGCTAAAATAGCTCATTTTAGCTTAATTTTTACTCCTGAGTCATTTTGTAAAAAAATGCTCAAGAAAGTGACCTATTTTCCACCAACCAAATTGCCATTTTTTCCTGGGGCAAAATTGGTATTGTTTGTAGTGTTAGCGCTCTTTAGCTAGCTATTCACTTGGTAAGTCGGTAAGGATTCGTAAAGTTACGAATGCCTACTGAGCCTCTTTAAGCTCAACTTGAGGAGAGGCTACATAGCTGGCCCCGATCAACCACTCCTCCCATCCAGAAAAAAAAACTATGGCACTCGATGACCATCATTAAGGGAACTACACTTCTACTGGTGACCAACATACCGATTTGACGTCTTGCTCATTTTCCATTAAGACTGAGCTCACTTTGTAGCCTTCATCATCCTGGATCATGTTCTGATGATCCTGCAACTCACTTCTGACCTGGATCTCCCAGATCCATAAACTCTTATCCTGAGAGCAGGTTGCCAACAGATTTCCGTTCTGGTTCCATGTGACTCCTTTGACTTTGCTCTAGTCATGCCCTTCAAGTGACATCAAACACTCCCAGCTCTCTTTGCCCTCTTCCTCAACATCAAGGATGGGCGATCTAGCTCTTCCTGGGTTGTCTTCCAAGTCCTGAGCATCGGCTTGATCAAGTCTTTGATTGAATTTGTGATTGTTCCAAATCAAAGCTGTCAAGTCAAATGAACCAGAGGCCAAGAGGTCACCCTTGGGAGACCAATTGATCGACTGAACGGTACGAGTATGGGCACTAGGGATCAAATGGATGTACTGGAATTCTAGTTTTTGTGAGAGTAGTAAAACCATCAAAAGGACTGACTGATATACCTTGCAAGACTCATAGAGGAGTGGTGTGTAATCTCTTCAATGACTGGCTTGGTACCGGTTATTCATTAAGGGATGAAGGCTGTACTTAGTATGTGAGATATAATATTTACAGAGTGCTAACTTAAATAGTGGACATGAGGTACAGTAGGGGGGTTCACAATAGCTTTTCACCAGAAAAGTTTTATTGTCCCACCAGAACGGTTTCGCATGCTGCGCAGATTAAAATTTTGGACAATCTTTAACACACCAGAAGTGATACACCAGTAAAATTTAGTAATGGAAACGAACTGGTGAACACATCCCTTCGGTTGGTTCCACATCCTCTTGCCTGTTCCACCCACACTGGTAATCCGGTAATCCTCACTGGAACAACATACCCCTCATCAATCACTCCCCTGATGACCAATCAGAACACCGATGGGAGTACACACCCCCATCATGAAATGACCGGTCATCAGGGGAGTGTGTACTTCCATCCATGACCGGTTTGGACCGGTCATGTCATGATGGGAGTGTGTACATACTCCCATCAATAGACCTTTCTGACCAGTCATGTCATGATGGAAGTGTGTACTCCCATCAATGACCGGTTCTGACTGGTTGTTGATACAAGTACACATTTCCTTTGATGATCGGTCAGAACGGGTCATCGATGGGAGTGAGTAGTGGATGACAATCTATGGGAGTGAGTATTGGATGACCGATCAATACCGGTCATCAATGTTGATGTGTAGTGCAAAAATGGTGGTAGTCAATACTTGTCATCAATGCTGGTGGTGTGTTGATTCAAGTTTTATGGTCAACATTTGAGGACCAGCAACACTTTATGGATGTTGGTCAGTGTTTTTGCCGATGTTTTTAGCTTAAAATTTAACAAAAAAATCACACCAGCAAGAAATTTTTTTAGGGGGGACCAGAAGCCAAAAAAGCTATCATGAACCCCCCTAGTAACTCAGTCATTTCTTCTTATTTTCTATTTACATGTGTACGGTTGTAAACTTGTCCGCTAGATGAATATGCATAGTGCGCAATGTTAAATCAAATCTGCACTTAAAAAAAAAAAAAAAAAAAAAAGAGGGTTATGCAACCCTCTGTAACTGAAACCAGCTGGCCAATGAGGGGCTTACAGACCGATGAGGGCAGGTTTTTTCTGTAGCTAAGCAAAAGAGCTCTGTAGGGCTCCTTAGCTAGCTAAAGATTTACCCCAACGGGGGTGGATGCTCTAAGCCAACCAACCAAGGAACTACATCAACACCACAATAAACTCGATCGATCTACTACATACACTTACGACGATGGATTCAAATGCCGACAAGAACAAAGAGTCTACTGAAGACATGATGGCTATCGATGGTAAATAAAAATAGCAAAACAACAGATTAGTTCGAAGACTGACTTGTTTTTTTTTTCTATATTATGTATAGAAAGTCCGATCAATCAGGAAGTGGCCGTCAAGCGAAAAGGGAGAGGTTTCAAAGCAGGCGACGCGACTGAACCGATGGAAGTTGATGCTTCTGCCGGCCAAGTGATCTATGAACGGTTAGACGATGAACACCAGAAGGAAAAAGAACAAACCGCTGGAAATGCCGCCCGATGTTTGTTTCTTCTCCTGTCTCCCTATCATCAGCCACCAAATCGCACTTTGTTGACTCACCGATCATCATTAAACGAACAAATAAATCGCCATCGTTCGTTTTAGCTGTCGAAGGATGGGTGGTCATCGTCCAAGGTGTACACGAAGAAGCAACTGAAGAAGATTTGATGGAGAAGTTCAGTGACTATGGACATGTGATGAACTTGGCTATGCCACTAGATCGCCGGACGGGTTATGTAAAGGTAAGCGATTCGACATGCCAACTTGACATAACTCCTTCCTTTATTCTCGTCAAAGCTTCACCTCTGAACATTTGGTTCTCAAACAAAATTCAATTATCAAATATCAACGGTTGAAAACTGATTGATCGGGTTTGAGTTTTCGTAGGGATTACTTCAGTAGAGTATGAGACTAGGAAAGAGGCCGAAATGGCAATCAAATCGGGGACAGATATTAAACTATTGGACCAGACATTGAAGTGCGATTTTGCGTTTGTTCGGTGAGTTAGATCTTTCCCCCTCTCATCCTTTCCTCTCTCGTATCTCTCTCTCTCTCCTACTCTTCTCTAATACTTCGCTCTTGATTATGGTTTTTAAAGGAGAAGGAACTCTAGTGCCTAAAACCACATCTGTTTGGATTGCTAGAACGATGTACCAGACCTCAAACCGAGAATCAACGAGGGCCGGTTTTGGTCGAAAATACTTCAAATCTACCTGACGCCCCACTCGATCAACCTTTAGCTCAGCAGCAGATTTCAATCACTGTCACCGATCCCAATTCGCTAGATTATCTGATCGAACAACTAGAGAATCAAGACACTCACCAATCATCACCACCGACATTGGCGAGTGCTGGCAAGAAGAGTAACTCGGCTACCGTCGCACACAAGCTACAGGTAATCGATCACCATAACAAGACCAAGTCCATCCAAAAGCAGACCGCAAAACGCTTCGGCCTAACCCAAAGTCAACTCAGTAGATAGCTAAAGGAAGAGGAAGAGTTACGCGACTATCTTTTGGATAAAGGATCTTCAAGTAAACGACAAAGAACCGGAGATTTCCCACAGATAGAAGATACCCTACTCCGATACTTCATCGAAGCCAAGTCTAGGCACGATCTTCCTACAGATGAGATCCTCAAGGAACGCACCAAGTCATTCATGAAAATCTATCAGATCTCTGAGAATCTACTTAAGGTCTCAAACGGATGGCTTCTCAGGTTCAAGGCTAGGAATAATATCAAGAGTTACCAGATTCCCCCTCCTCCTCCACTCGATTTAGAACTAGATACTCGACTCGATTCCATCCGTGACAAGCTGAAAAAGCTGACCGATTCATATGCCCTAAAAGATATCTATACACTCGGTGAAGTCGAGTTATGTTGCAAGTAAGCGAGCTTATCTATCTTGAGTTTGAATGTTTAGGCTAACCGCTCCTTTTTCACACTAGTCTAGGTGCCCTCACTGGCTCGGTAGACGTCAATCCATCCGAACGACTTCGACTAACTTACTTGCTGTGTACGAATGCAGATGGGAGTGACAAACGGACCCCGCTGGTTATTGGGCGGAGTCTCGAATCAGAAACTTTCCAGGCGCCACTGGGGGAGAAGCCATACTGGTATCGATACTCGACTCGAGGCCGGATCTCGTCGCCAATTTTTTCGGAGTGGATCAGGAAGTTTGATCGAGAAATGCAGCGTCTGGGGCGAAAGGCGATATTGATGATTGATAACGCTCGAGGGCACCTATGTGAGCTGGAATCGATTGCGAGCACCGCTTTGATCCCACTGCCCGGGCCGACGCTCAGACTTGTTCAACCTCTCGTGGCGGGAATCATCCGGACCTTCAAGTCGAACTATCGCCGGAACCTCCTTGAGATTTACACCGAAATTAATCATCAAGAAGCCAGTCAAGCTTTGGCCCAAAAGCCTAACGAGCAACGACTCGCGCTCCAATGTGCCCACTCTGCATGGGACCAAATCACTCCAACGACGATCCGTAATTGCTTCAATCATACCGATATCATCTCAGCCCGTCTAGACGACGGCATCACCACCGCCCTCAACCAAAATCCCGCCTCGAACCATTCCTCTCAGTTCGCCTCCGACCTTGACATGGAGAAATCACTCATGGCCACCCAATCGGCCCTCATCCAACTCCAGCGAGACCTCCAAATACCTGAATCTTCCCAACTGAGTATTGAAGACTTTCTAGAACTTGAATCCCATCTTGATCTGCAGTACCCACCATGTCCGGCACTGACGGAGGATAGACAGATGTTGACTGATGAAGAACTCGTCCAGGAATCCAAATTCCTTGCAAGCCAACTCTTGGAAGAATCTCGCTACCGTAAGCTGGAAGATAATCATGAGTCGCCTGGGAGTGGCGAAGGAGTGCCTGTTCTTGACCCTTCTCCCAGTTCATCAAATAACCCTACTACGGCGACCAAAGAGCCAAGTAAACCGAGTCCTACGCGGGGAATCAAGCCCCGCCCGAAACGGAAACCCAGCGCTAAGCCGGGCTCGTCTCCGACAATTGCCGAGACGGTGGATGGCCAGACTCCGCCCGAGAATGCGAATAGAACATTGCCTGCTGTCGACGAATCGGTAGTCGATCGCCAGCGTCCTGTCGGGCATGCCCAGCACTCCCCTTCCGCCCCCATACCCGTTTCGCCATTAGTCCCACTCTCCGTGCAAGAAATGGTCAGATTACTCGACCGTCTACAGTTCTCTCTCCCCTTCTACCTCCTTCCTTCTCCTCATCCCTCCTCTTCGTCTGTTTCTCCACCCTATCAGTCAAATTCTTCTACTCTCACTATCAGCAATCTTCACTTCTAAACAATCAACTTCCAAACCCAACTCAAGCTAACTCTGCATCTGATCACCAACGATTGATTAATGAGAATAATGTAACAGAAGGAGGAAGAGGAGGAGGAGATCTAAGGACAGATTCGATGGAAGAGACTAGTAATAATAATAATCGATTGTTTGATCTAGATTCTAGCATCCTCCTAGATCATCTCGAATCTAATCTCAATCAAAGCTCTTTTCCTGTCAACTCTCTAGCTCGCCTAGGGCCTCATTCTCATCTTAATCTTCATCCGGATCTTGATCCTAATCCCGATGTCAATCAGGATCGGAATCTGAATCTGGAACAGAATTTGGATCTGCCGCAGAATTTGGATCAGAGTTTTGATCAGAATGAGGGTCGTAATCAGAATGAGAATTTTAGTCAGAATCGGAACTCTAATCTGAGTTCAACAATAGATAAGAGTTTGAATCAGAATAATCATCAGACTTCGCATCAGAATGATAACCAGAACTTGAATCGAGGTGCAAATTTGAACCCGAATTCGATCGCAAATTCCAATGAAAAATCTCATTCATA